ACATTATTGCTGTGAGGCAACAGTGCTAACCAATGGGCCACCGTGCTGCCCTATCTAGAAAAAAGGGGAGGAGTAGAGGTGAAAGGGGGGATTCTTCAAGGTGAAGAAAACTGAGGTAAGAAACTTTGGTTATTTATAGTGACTTAGGAATGGACTGTTTAGTGATTCTTGCGTTAGCTAATGTGGGACCAGCTGTGATCAATCATAAGCATGTGATCCTCTCGAAATTAGTTTATAAATACACGTTACCTAGAGACTGGCACCTAGGCCCGGTTTTTCTAAAGTAATCCACTAGGATTTTGGATTTTGGATTGGATCACATCTTGAAAATGGGGTTTTCAAAAGAAAAAATGGATTACATAATCAGATTAGATCACATAATCTGATCTTGGTTTTGATCCAGATCAAACCTTTAGTTTGAGATTTTCAGACCTTTTTTTATAGCATTTGGATCACTTTGTTCCAAAAAATCTGGATTAAACTGATCCCATCAGAAGGGTGAATTCAGCATGGATTTCATGCCCAAAACGTAATGAAAATTTTAAAAAAGTATCATATGTTCCTATATTTGGATCATGCAGTATCTTACAAGATATCCTATTTATTCATAAGGTTTTAATTGTATTTGTTCAACTGTCAGGCTATAGTGTTTAGGTAGGCTTTAATGTATTCAGCCTTTCAGTACAGGCCTACAGCAAAGTAGAAAGAGTTTGGCCTCATAAAAAATCCCCCAAACAGCTGTCAAAATTGACCAAAAACAACAAATTTTATTCTGTCACTAATTTATATATATATATATATATATATATATATATATATATATATATATATATATATATATATATATATATATATATCCACTCCTAAAGGCTACTGGGAGCGGACTCCTGGAAGAGAAAGGGGCGGGGTTTTCTTTTTTTTTTGTACTTTTTAAATATGTGTGTTTTCATTTCAAATAAAACATAAAGTTATACTGACCCCACACTGGCTATACTTGTTGCTCTTTACATATCTGTAGTTCTACATTGTGATTTCCTATCCTGTTTAAGCACTGGTTATCCAGATTTAGTGATCCTAAAAAGTTCCTATCCGGATCAGAGTGATCCAATCCAATGTTGCTTAGAAAGACTGGCTCAAAAAGTAAGCTGGATTCCGTGATCACGGATCGTAAAAACAGGATTACTAAATCTGGATTTATTTTATCTGGATTAAACCTTTTGAAAAACTGGGCCCTGGTGGTCACATCAACTCTCAGGGTATGCACTACCTGACAAATGCAATCACCATTGTGAATAGTCATAATTAAGGGCAGTGGTTCTGGTTCACAAGTAGGTGCTGGTTTTGTTTTCTTGATGTTTTATGTTAATTTTTTAGGGCATTTGATGTTGTACAGCACTTTTGCCAAAGGCTGTCTTTTTAAAATGTGCTTTATCAATAATTATGACTGACTTACTTAAAAAGAACAAATCAGAGAGTTTCCTTACCTCTCTGTTGGTATTCCTTTTGGGTGAAATAGGTCTTTAATACAGAGACGTCTTGCTAGACGACAACCTAACTGACACTGACAGCATTGGAAGATCTGATTCAGCTCAATCATTTGCTTAGACATTGTGTCCGTACATATGTTATAATGGGAGTTGGCTGTGCAAGTCATGGCTTGACTGCAGGTTTGAAGGACATGTGGATTGTTCTCTTAGTTTAGGTGGATTATATGTGACTAACTGAACCCTCAACCTGTTTGTTAATAGCCAAAAGTCAGGAGATCAATCAAATATCTGACATGAATATAAAGCTGAAGTTTAGTTTTCGTCGTGAGCCCTTAAGGCCTGATACTGTATACAGTATCTTCTATGATACAAGATAAAATATAGTGTTTTCATTTCTGAAATATTTAATATAAGAAAGGCCATTGGATCATCTAGATAGAACATTTTAAATACATTTGTCTGTTTTACATAATATTTCCTTTATTCATTTAATGGTGTGGATATCAATTGTTTATGACAACATCTACTCTATTCAGAATCTATAATTTGACATGTTTTTCTGGGAGTTTTAACATACAGCCTACTACATAAAAACATATAGCTTTAATAGCATCTGTAGCTATTTATCTCCCAATAATATGCCTTTGTAACTGTAATATTCAAATACTTATTAGCAAAATTCAAATGCATTTCTGTAACTTTCACTGCTGGAGGTAAAAAATAAAATGCAATGCAAAACAATGACATTTGAGGGAAGGACAAAAATTCCCTGAGAGGCTGTTGAATCACATTTGACACTTGCATTTTAACCTGATCTTTCAAGACAAAAAAAGTGTAACAAATTTGCTTTTATTCAGTAAGTTTTCACCTTAAAATATTGATGACTAAGTTTACACATGTTTGCTTTGTTGTTGATAATTTAGTTGAGAGGGTTAAGCAAAAGTATATAAGTAACAATTACATGCAAAAATCAGGGAACTTACATTTCAGGTATCTGCCAGTAATTTGAGTTAAAGGGGTGGTCTACTCCGATATCATATTTTAAACTTTAGTTGATGTGTAATGTAGCTTAGTGAACATAAACAACATCTCTGAATGTAATACTCTCAAAGTTCAATGCAAGGGGAGACACTGGCTTTTACAGAATTAGCTTAGCGAAGCCTGCCTCAAATGAAGTTTGATGACTACAAAAAATACATCTGGGTTAGTGAGATCACAAAAAAAATATTTTATAACAACAAAGAAATAAATACAAATAAGTTTAAAATATTAATAAAAAATTGATCAAACAAATAAATACATAATATAATAATATAATGTACCTTAATAGAACCTAAATATTTTCTCTAATAATTATAGAACCTAAATACTACACCTTAAAGAACCTAAATATTATATTATATTATATTATATTATATTATATTATATTATATTATATTATATTGTATTATATTATATTATATAACAAAGGAAGAACATGTAAACTCCACACAGAAATGCCAACTGACCCAGGGGAACCAGCAACCTTCTTGCTGTGAGGCGATTGTGCTACCCACAGCACCAACATGTTGCCTAATATATTATGTTATGTTATATTATATTATATTATATTATATTATATTATATTATATTATATTATATTATATTATATTATATTATATTATATTATATTATATTATATTATATTATATAAACAATTGCAGTACAAATTGATTCTTTATACAAGAAACTTGAGACGCATTTTAATTTTAAGACCCTGATCTATAACACGATAGTTATCACATGGAAAACCCCAGACTTTCCTAATAATCATATGCTAAGATAAGTTAGACATCCTTTTATTTCATTCAATGTACTAAAACCCTTAACTTCACTATTGTTTAAAAAGATAAACAATAATATTTTTTCTACACGTTTCAAAAAATGATATTTCATATTTGTCTTTTATAGAGCAAGCTCATAACTTCAGTCAGATCTGACCTTGCTGTATTTGGCACATAAAAAACACGAGGGGGAAAAAAGACAGGTTCCCATAAAATGATGTTTGGCAGATGAAAGATATATAAGCAACTCATTGTGATATTCATCATGATATTCAGCACCCGAGGGGGCCAGTTCTTGTCAAACATGTAATTCACACAAAACTACAGAAACATCAATTCATATTCATCTGAGATTCATGGAATCTCTACCACCCATCCCCCCCAGCATTTACAACCACCCTTTATAAATCACCCAAGCTAAAATGCTGACTGCATATACAGTTAAAGTCAGAAATTATTAGCCCTCCTGAATTATTAGCGCCCCCCCCCCCTCCCCCCAATTATTATATCCCCCCAAATTCTGTTTAACGGAGAGAAGATTTTTTTCAACTGATTTTTATAAGTTTTAATAACGTATTTCTAATAACTGACTTCTTTTATCTTTGCCATGATGACAGTACATAATATTTTACTAGGTATTTTTCAAGATACTAGTATTCAGCTTATAGTGACATTTAAAGGCTTAACTAGGTTAACTAACTAGGCAAGTTTGGGTAATTAGGCGAGTAGACACTACCTTAAGTCTTGTTGTTGATCCCAGTAGTAAGAGCAACAAATAATAACTTCACTTCTAGTTGATCATTTGGAAAAGTGGCAGAAGGTAGCTTTTTCCGATGAATGATCTGTTGAACTGCATCCTAATTATCACAAATACTGCAGAAGATCTATTGGAACCCACATGGACCCAAGATTCTCACAGAGATCAGTCAAGTTTGGTAAAGGAAAAATCATGGATTGGGGTTACATTTAGTATGGGGCCGGGCAAGAGATCTGCAGAGTGGATGACAACATCAACAAAATAATGCTTCCTTTGCCATTCCAGATGACTTTATTAATAACTTATTTGAGTCATTACAGAGATGCATGGATGCTGTTGTTCAAGCTCATGCGAGTCATGCACAATACTAATTCTTTTTCCAACTTTTGTCTAAGAAAAGTCAGACCTTACTGTCCTAATTAAATAATTAAAAATTGAGGCATGATCATATTTTATTTTGGTAAAATAAGCGTAATCTAGAGGCCTTTGCCTTTCATATAAGCAACTTCTGATACCAAATGATCAACTAGTAGTCAAGTTATTTTTTGTTGTTCCTAAAACTTTGATAGGCGACAAGACTTTTGTCAGGTAATATATAAGGATGGTATTCTGTGGACAGTTGAAAAATATATAGATTAAAGGGGCTAATGATATTGACCTTAAAATGGGATTATAAAAATTAAAAACTCCTTTTTTTCTAGCCGAAATAAAACAACCAAGACTTTCTCCATAAGAAAAAAATATTATAGGAATTACTGTGAAAAATTCCTTGCTCTGCGAAACATCATTTGGGAAATATTTCATTTGAAATAATTTTCACTTCAACTCTATGAGGCACAACTACTGTAGAATTTCAACTAATATTCGATACAGAAAAGGTCCACCCACAAATGTCAACAACACGCTCCATACAAATGCACTCTTTACAGTGAACACGCTGTAGGTGAACCTTGCGCAGGTGTCAGGTTTCATGTGGAACGTCAGCCAATGAGACGTTCACATCACGGTCCTGTCAAACGCTAAGACAGCCAGGAAGCTCTCATTCTGCCAGGAAGGTTGACAAAGGAGCTCATATATGAGAGAATAGAGAGAGTCTTAAGCGCGTGTGAACTATACTCAGCAGTGGGCTCAAATCTGGTGAGTGGGACTTTTTTTAAACGCTTTTAAAGCTCTGCAGGTAAATCCAGTAAATGTCAATGAAGTAAAGGGGAAGTTTCAGCTCTCTTTAATAAAGTGTTAAAGTTATTTTTGAATGTGAAGACAAGGAAATGCTTCTTTTTCTACTTAAATAGCAGAAGCAAAACAGCAGTTTGACAGCTTGTTCATACTTTAATTAGAGTACAGGCTACTTTTGGAGAGACAAAACTTCAGGAAAAGCTTCGTTTTTCTTAAGTGCACGTATTTAGTATGCTGCAGCACAGTAAAGCAAATGGCAGAAAGCTGGAGGGAACGTTTGACAGCATGTACATATTGTGGATTCATTTAAGGCTTGAGAAATGTTGTCTTCATATAGCGTTTGTGAACTTCTATGAAATACAAGGCATGAAATAGGAGAAAGCTACTAGTAAAACAACTGTTTAGCATGCTTTTACTTTAATTAGGCTACCTTTCAGAAAAGTTGTCTGCTTGGTTTTTGCACTTCTTCTGTATTGTGCAGCAGTAGCCTATTCTAAAGCAAATAGCAGAAAAGCTGGGAGACAACTTTTATTTGGCAGCACGTTCATATTGTAGATAAATATATGTAGATAAAATATATACATTTTAGAAAGGTTATCTTCATTTAGTGTTTGTGAACTTCTCTAAAATACTTACGAAATAGTAGACCCGCCTGTAACGCAACTGTTAAGATGCATGTTTTACTTTAATTAGGCTACCTTTCAGATACGTTTTGTCTGCTTTGTTTTTGCACTTCTTCTGCAATGTGCAGCAGTACTCTAAAGCAAATATCAGAAAGCTGGAAGAAAACATTTATTTCATAGCACGTTCAGCTGCAACCCATCACTGGGAAACATCCATACACACACACACATTCAAACACATTCACTACTGACAATTTAGCTTACCCAATTCACCTACACTACATGGTTTTGGACTGAGGGGGAAACTGGAGCACCAGGAAGAAACCCCCGCCCACTCGGGGAGAACATGCAAACTCCACAATGAAACGGCAACGGACCCAGACGAGGCTCAAACCAGCGACCTTCTTGCTGTGAGGCGAACGTGCTATCCACTACGCCACCGTGGCGTGCAGCCCTAGCACGTTTAATGCAGATTATTATAAGGCTATACATTTTAGAAAAGTTGTCTTCATATAGTGTTTGTTAACTTCTAAAACACACAATAAATTAATTAGCAGAAATCGACCAGTAAAGCAAATGTTTAGTAGCATGTTTTACTTATTCAGGCTACTTTTCAGAAAGGTTTTGCTTTTTGCACTTCTGTAATGTGCAGCAGTACTGTTCAGCAAACAGGAGAAAGCTGGAAGAAAACATTTATTTGATAGCATGTTGATATTGTAGATTAATATGCATTTCCGAAAATTATATCGTCTTCATAAATAGTTTGTGAACTATAAAATACAATACATGAAATAGCTAGAACCTACCATTAAAGCAAATGTTCAGCAGCATGTTTTTATGTTAATTACGCTACCTTTCAGAAAAGTTTTGTTTTTGTGCTTTTGCAATGTGCAGCAGTACTCAAATAGCAGAAAGCTGGAGGGAAACATTTTACTGACAGCATGTTTATATTGTAGATTAATTTAAGGCTATACATTTTAGAAAAAGTTGCCTTTGTATACGGTTTGTTAACTAAAAACTACAATACATGAAATAGCACAAATCTACCAGTAAAGCAAGTGTAGCAGTTTTTACTTTAAATAGGCTACTTTTCAGAAAGGTTTTGTTTTTGGACTGTGATGTTCAGCAGTGTAAAGCAAATAGCATTTCTTTGACAGCACGTCCATAATATTTATTTTGAGTTGGCTGCTCTTGAATGAAAATGTTCCTTATGTAGAAACAGCTTCTTTAAAATCCTAATAAAGATAGTTTGTACCTTGATTTACTGTTGACCAGGGGTGGTTAACCTGGTTCCTGGAGATCTACCTTCCTACAGAGTTCAGCTCCAACCCTGATCAAACACACATTAACCAATTGATTAGGACCTGAACATTACTTGATCATTACAGGCAGGTGTGTTTGATATGCATTGCAACTAAAATCTGCAGGAAGGTCGATCTCCAGGAACAGGGTTGAGCACCCGTGCTGTAGACTGTATAGTACATTTTTTCAATTTTGATAAGCTGATTGTTGTAAAATCTGTGGCAAACCATTGTAATGTATTTTACCGTATTTTTTATGATAAAGTTTACAGTAAAATACTGTTATAATTAACAAGGTTGTATAATTTTAATTACATAGATAATGCAGTTGGGTTTGCAGTATATTTTTTTTACACAGTAGTTTACTGTAAAGCAGTTTACACATACAACTGCTATTTTTAAAGTAAATTACTGTAAACATTTTTACAACATATCTGTTTTATTGAACAGAAATGTACAGTAAACAAACAGCAGTAACATTTACAGATTATCAAAAAAGGATTCTGTAAAGTACTGCACATTGCAATCCTTTTATTTTATGGTGAACTTCTGGCAACCAGCTGCTGTTATTTTACCGTATAGGTCACCTGTTATTTTTTCAATCTATGAAATGTGATACAGTGAATGACAGCAAGAATAGAAAGTTATTTTATATTACATGTTTATTCTGACAACATGTTTATACTGCCAATACTGCTACATTGCAGGAACAGTTCTCTCTATTGTGGAATAAAAACCTGCCTGATAGCATGTTCATACTGTAAATAAAGTTAAAGCTATACACTTCAGAAACAAAAGTTGTCTCTTTTGTTCTTCACGTAATATGTGCACTTCTATAAAATTCAATACATAAAATGACAGAGAGCTTGACAGCATACTAGAAAGTAATTTTAGCAGGCTACTTTTTAGGAAACTTGTATCTCATGAATGAAAATGCTTGTTTCATAAAGTATGTGCACTTCTATAATATTCATTGCAGCAAATAAAACAAAATAATGCATTGAAGCAATTGCCTGCTAATATATTTACACTGCTAATTACTGTAATATGGACAGACTAGTTTTTAGAAATGTTTGAGTTCTTAAATGAAGGCTAGGTATACATATAACAAAAACAAAAGCTGTTTGTAATACCTTAAATGAATTTGAGGCTACATTTCAGAAAAGGTGTGTTAATTTTGTGCACTTCTGTATTATACGCAATCAGTGTTGGAGAAAGTTACTTTTGAAAGTAATGCATTACAATATTGAGCTAGGTGACGCAGTAAGCCTCGGCTGGGTCAGTTAGCGTTTCTGTTTGGAGTTTGCATGTTCTCTCTGCATTCGTGTGGGTTTCCTCCGGGTGCTTCAGTTTCCCCTACAGTCTAAAGATATACGATACAGGTGAATTCGGTAAGCTAAATTGTCCGTAGTGTATGAGTGTGAATGAGTGTGTATGGATGTTTCCCAGAGATGGGTTGCGGCTGGAAGGGCATCCGCTACGTAAAACCTGCTGGATAAGTTGGCAGTTCATTCCGCTGTGGCGACCCCGTATTAATAAAGGGACTAAGCTGAAAAGAAAATGAATGAATGAATGAATGAATATTGATCTTTCAATTGCCTGACAATATGTTTATACTGCCAATTACTGTAATTTGGACAGGCTTCTTCTCAGAAGTGTATATCTCGAATGAAGATATCTCGAATGAAAGCTAGCTATACATACAAGAAAAAAAGCTGTAATACTGTAAATTCATTTGAGGCAACATTTCGGAAAAGGTGTATTGCTTTTGTTTTTCATATGTGCACTTCAATGTTATATGCAATCAGTGTTGGGGAAGGTTACTTTTAAAAACAATTCAAGCATTACATATTGAGTTACTCCCCAAAAAAGTAATTAGATGTGTTACTTGGTTACTTTTTATAGTAAGTAATGCATTATGCTACTTTTAAATTACTTTTGAGTTACTTTTCCCTAGATTTTCTTTAAGAACTTTTTTTTTCTTCTTTTCTTTAAATAGAGGAGCTCTGCAATTAACAAGGCACTGTATAATATACACCGTCACTTACATTTACACAATTTTAGTAGGCTCCTTTTCAAAAAACTTGTATCTCATGAATGACAATGCTTGTTTTCGTATAGTATGTGAACTTCAATAATATCCATTGTAGTAAATAAAACAGAAGAATACATTGAAACAGTTGCCTGACAATATGTCTATACCAATTACTGTAATATGGACAAACTACTTTATTTCATTTATTTTTTAAATTTTCTTTATTTATTTTTTTTTAGAAATGTTTGATTTCTTGAACAAACAGTATAAGGACAAAAGCTGTTTGTAATACTGTAATTCATTTAAGGCTACATTTCAGCAAATGTTTGTTGTTTTTGTGCACTTCTATATGCATAATCACTGTTGAGGACTGTTACTTTTGAAAGCAATGCATTTCAATATTGATTTACTTCCTAAAAAAGTAACTAGTTGGGTTATTCAGTAACTTTTTATGGTAAGTAATGTGCTACACTACTTTTGAATTACTTTTGCAAAACTTTTACTTAGATTTTCTAAAGCTTGATCTCTTTTTACGAACTGTTTTTCCTCTTTTCTTTAAATAGAGGAGCTCTGCAATTAACAAGGCACTGTTTAACCCAGACCTTCATTTACATTAAGTAATTTTAGTAGGCTCCTTTTCAGAAAAGTTGTATCTCATGATCGAAAATGCTTGTTTTCGTATAGTATGTGAACTTCAATAATATCCATTGTAGTAAATAAAACAGAAGAATGCATTGAAACAATTGCCTGACAATATGTCTATACCAATTACTGTAATATGGACAGACTGCTTATTTATTTATTTATTTTACTTATTTATGAGTCATTTAGCAGACGCTTTTATCCAAATAGCTATCTATACATACAGTATAAGGAAAAAAAGCTGTTTGTAATACTGTAAATTAATTTGAGGCTACATTTCAGTAAAGATTTGTTGTTTTTGTGCACTTCTATATACACAATCACTGTTGGGGAAAGTTACTTTTGAAAGCAATGCATTAC